TGATTCAGGGGTGCAATGGGCCACTTGATTGGATTTGCCCCCCAGGCCTAAGGCTGCCATCCCTCCCCTGCTACAGCCCCTATCCACCCCTACACACTACAGCCCTTATCCACCCCAACACACACTACAGCCCCTATCCACCCCAAAACATACACTACAGCCCCTATCCACTCCAACACATACATGGCATCCCCTATCCACCCCAACACACACACTACAGCCCCTATCCACTCCAACACATACACTGCAGCCCCTATCCACCCCAACACACACACTACAGCCCCTATCCACTCCAACACATACACTGCAGCCCCTATCCACCCCAACACACACACTACAGCCCCTATCCACTCCAACACATACACTACAGCCCCTATGAACTCCAACACACACTACAGCCACTATACACTCCAACACACACACTACAGCCCCTAACTACACACAGCCCTTATTTACATGCCCACATTTATTACACTGCAAACACCCCCACCCATACACACAACCTGCAACACTACAAGCAGTATACCCCGGAAGCAACACAACAAACACGCAACCCCATCTCAACAAACCACGCATTAACGCATCCAATCCCATACACCAAACTTTTGCATCTATGTATGTGTAAGATATATATACATACTTTGGTAAAACAGGAGAGAGAGAGAAACAAGCAAATAATATATTGCTGTATGGTCCCCTGCTAGGTGGAGAGAGTATGGGAATACGTACTAAACGTTGCTCAGACTGGGTCAGGTACACCAATCCCCAAAATGGAAAACGTTAAATAAAATTCTACCAGAAACAAGTAGGATTATCAGGAACTGATATTCAGAGATTAAATATCAAATCAGGATCAGACAAATCGGGATCTGATTAAAAGCACAAACTATATAACATCAAATAATATGCAAAGTATAATAAAAACCAGTAGTGGGGATACTGATAAAATCACACAAGGCATAAAAAACAAAAACAAACATATACAAACACAAAAATGTAAAATAGAAGGTCTTAAAGAATCTTGGGTAAAAAATATAAAAATGCAAATCTCTCAGAAGTCTATAAATAAACTCCACAATGGATGTCGCAATAGGTCCGAGTACTCATACAACAGTTACAGCAGTGAAACCCATTGATCAAACAGACCTATTTGCCAAAATAATACAGTACGTATTAGTTAATCAGGGAACTGCAGTAATCCTGAAATATAGTCAAATATGAAAAAAATTATCATATCAAACAATTCACTGGATTCCATCAGTGTACCCAGAGGTGACTGAAATACAAACGTGTATTCCTGACACTGTAGTTCTAATAGTGCTGTTTAGATGATCAAACTTGCTGGAGGAAAGCATTGGGAGGCTATTGCGCATGCGCTGCAAAAGGCTGCGATGCTCCAATCAGCATCTCCTCTTAGAGACAGCATTGAATCATTATCAGTATAATCAGTATAATTACACAAAAAGTGAAATGTGCGAAAAATGGAAACGTTTGCATGATACCATTAATATTATTCTGTAAATGTAATGTTTACTGCAAAATGAGACTCAAAAAAGGAAGAGACTTGAAGGACCACTCTAGGCACCCAGACCACTTCAGGTTAATGAAGTGTTCTGGGTGCCAGGTCCAGCTAGGGTTAACCCATTTTTTCATAAACATAGCAGTTTCAGAGAAACTGCTATGTTTATGAATGGGTTAAGCCTTCCCCCTAATCCTCTAGTGGCTGTCTCATTGACAGCCACTAGAGGCGCTTGCGTGCTTCTCACCGTGATTTTCACAGTGAGAGCACGCCAGCGTCCATAGGAAAGCATTATGAATGCTTTCCTATGTGACCGGCTGAATGCGCGCAGCTCTTGCGCGCGCATTCAGCCGACGGGGAGGAGAAGAGGAGGATCGGAGGAGGAGAGCTCCCCGCCCAGCGCTGGAAAAAGGTAAGTTTTAACCCCTTTCCCCCTTCCAGAGCCGGGCGGGAGGGGGACCTTGAGGGTGGGGGCACACTCAGGGCACTATAGTGCCAGGAAAACGAGTATGTTTTCCTGCCACTATAGTGGTCCTTTAAGTAAATCTAAATTCTTAAATGCCAGATTTTCAAATAAAATATCTAAATCTAAATATCAAAAGTGAAATACAGGGTCTGTTTTTTTATTTATTGACAATCCTAATTGTCTTATGAATCCACTGTCATTGTACCTATTTCCGCAAGAATAAATAAAGAATTTTTAAGAATTAAAAAACGTGAAATACAGGGTTATAGCCGAACCGGAAAAATTCTTCCATTCAGCTATGGTTTCAGTTTGTCCTTAAATTTGAAATTCACTTTGAATCACTTTGAATTCTCTGCAATTCTCACAGTTCAGTAAATAAGCCTGATAGTGTTTTTTTTTTTCAACCACAGCGCAATTCAAATGCTGCCACCTAGTGTTTTAAAATAGGTAAGGCATCATGTGTAAATGGATTAAGACGTTGAGTGATTATAAATCAGTTTTTATACTGAGCTTTTAATTCCTAGGGGACGGACTTAGCGCACATTCTCAGACTTTAACTGAGAGTGGCCATCAATTATTCATTAAGTATTGAACAATAAAGCAATGCATCTTTACAGTTTAGACTATGTTGTTTAAACGGACGTGCCGCGCTGGATTCGACCCAGTCCTTTTAAAGGCATCACATAAATTAGAAAATATAAAAATAAAATAAAATTTGTTATATTTCATATTCCTGAATTTGCTGCAAATTCCCAAGCTTTTCAGGATCTCAAGTGAGCTTTCATCAAACCAGGAAGTGAGTCTTAATAGACTTTAGGGATGTGAACGGGCCAAAAATTGGTTTCGTTTTGTTTCATTTAAATTCGTTAATTTTCTAATTTCAGTTTGTTCAGTTGTAAATTTGGAAGCAAAATTCAGACACTATTATTCCTAGTATTTCAAAGAATGTCAAATCAGGGCACCTTTAGCAGATAGCTCCCTAATTTGGCATCCTTAAAATCAGCAATCACATATGAAGGTACCAAATTAGGGAGCTATCTACTAAACACAGCTGAAAGATCAAAATTAATCAAATCTGCATGTATAGAACGTATGTACTATGTGTATAAAGAATGTATGTGCTGCATGTATATAGGATTTATATGCTTCATGTATGCAGAATGTATACACTGTGTGTATAGAGAATGTATTTGCTGCCAGTATGTAGAATGTATGTGATGCATGTATATATAATAGATGTGGTTGTGATATAAACAGGATTCCAAATTAGGGAGCTATCTACTAAACAGCTAAAAGTGCTACATAAGTATAGGCCTTTTTAAAAGTCCCTAATTTTGTATCAATGTATTTATGGAAATCACAAATTAAGGAAGCTATCAACTAAACAGTGGAGTCTTATTAATTTGCAGGGTTAATTACTAAAGCAGGAATCCAAATTTAAGGTCAGAGTAGCCAATTTTTCCACGTCGGCTATTTTGACAGTAAATTTACTGAGTTCTCAGTCTATTGAACAAACCTGTACATAAGACTCTATGGGTAAATCCAAGACAAATTGGCTGATCTGAGTGTGCGTTAAAAAGATTTTGATTCAGATTAACTGGCTGGAAACACATTTCTGCGCAAGTCTAATGCTTAACAAACAAACGTGTCGATTTAATATTTTTGGATAAGCATTTCAAATATTAATTTGAAATATTAAAATATCCAAAAATATAATATATATAAAAAAAAGTCAAAATATATCAGAAATCAAATTGAATTATTTGAAGAAAAAAAAACATTTGCAAATTTATCCGTAAATGTTACATTGAGACCTTAATATGGTACTGCTGAGCTTATCCCAAGAAGTGCTTTAAATGCTTCTTCTGACTCACTTTTAACTCTACTGTAGAAAGCTTACAGCTGAACTACCACTCCCAGAAACCTGAGCCATTAAATTATATACAGCGATATTCTTCGAGCAAAATGGCAAGCACTGCAGGTGGAGAGGGAGAACCACAAAGGGCAGGCTTAAAGCAAAAACAGATTATTATTAAATAAATAAATAGCCTTAGCTTACCTGACTACAGAATACATCCTGGTATTCTATTTACAAATTAGTTCAGATATATGTACACAGGATATGTAATTATTTAAAGAATGTCACACCTGACCCCTTTTTTTAAAGAAACACCCAAATAACACAAAACAATTTTTAAATATACTATTTAGCAGATATACCGCCAATGTAAAAATGCATGCATTTAATAATGCTTTCTTGTATTATCTAAAACAGCTTGCAAAAATTGCAGATCTCTTGTCTGCTGCCTTTGCAAGCCCTCCCCTTCTAACTCCGCCCAGACTTTCTGTGACTGTCCAATCACAGACTCCCCAATGCAGCTCAATGTGCAGTCTTTGCAAAGCAGGTGCTCTGGGCAATTGCTGCCTCGAGTTTAGCTTCACTGAGCTAACCAAACCGTGAAATAACAGGACCTTTTGTCTGAGTGGCCGCCAGGGGGTGTAACCAGGTTAATTTATAAATGTGACACTTTCCATTGAAATCTGTACTGTTTGTAAAATTAATAAAAGGTCAGCAAGCTAAACTGCATTATGTGTGTAGTGTCCCTTTAAACATTTCCCACGTGTTAGTTACACGCCTGGGAATGACAAATGTTTCCCTTCCATTCTATAGAGGTTGCTGTAACAGCAGCTAAACATGTGCTGAATAAAATATTAGTGGCTCCATTTCAGATTTTGGGTTAATTACCCTCTTATTGTATATTAGAATGATATTGTTTCATTTAATATATTGATAGTTTGTATCCATAAGGAGAGAGCACCACCTAGTGGCTGAAATATTATTGTTTTTTTCCTATACTGCCCCATATGATCCCCATGAGGTTTGTTTCTGAGTGGATTTCCTCTCTTGATCACATAACAGCAACCCAACAGACAATGACTGGGAAGCCTTCCACTCTTGTAAAATAAGTCTGCTTACTTCAGAACATGTATTGCAGGCTTCCCCAAACTCCGGCCCTCCAGATGTTGCTGAACTACAACTCCCATGATTCCATGAATGGGAGTTGTAGTTCAGCAACATCTGGAGGGCTGGCGTTTGGGGAAGCCTGATGTATTGTGTTCTTGTCAGATGGAATAGTAACGTAGGTAAGTGCACACCTGTACACACAAGTCTTCACACTGTTTGAGGATGCTGGATAGATCAGTATTATGGGGCAGTTAAATAAAGCACAGAGGACTGAATCCAGTGGTTGGAAAAGGCAGGAAAACGACCAAAGAAGATTAGTAAGTCAGGGCCGGCAGCGAAGGTTCAAGGTCAGGGTATGTAGCAGATGATCAGGAATCTAAAACCAGTAACAAAAAGAGCAGTGAAGGAACCAGGACAAACTCTTTAGAGTAGTAGTTTGTAGACTAGTTGCTGAGGTCTCCTCCAACAGACAGCATTTTGGCCGTGTGGTGTAGTCTTTCCTTCAGAGGTGATGCATGAACTGGAGTGGACCAGCCAACGTCCTACGGAATGACACAAGCTCACAATACAGAACCCACACACTCTCGCTCCCTGACGATAGTGTTTGATGTTTGATATTGCTGTTATAATCAGAAGGCCTATAGTCTGACCACTTTAAGTTTAAAAATTATAACTTGAGAAAGTTTTTAAAAAGTCGCCATTAATAAGCAAACATTATAACGAGCCCGCTCTAACTGACTGAGAATGTGGGAGTAATAGTTACAGCTCCATAATGGCCATTATCCTTAACTCCAATATCTCCTAGCCATAATTTTCCTCAACTCTAACTTCCCACAAACCCTGAAACCACAATAACCTTAAAAAACCTTGCATTCACTATAACAACTTCATTTTATTGAAAAATGTGCCAAAAAAGTGCAAATCTCTTTCCAATTCTCCATAATTCACAGTTTAGTAGATCAACCCCAAATGAATGAAAAAACAGACTGTGAAATCCTGTGACGTCCAACCTCCAGCCTTTATCAAAGCAGAATTTCTCCTTATTTGGGACATTTTATCTGCCCTGTCGCAGCACCTCTGGACATTAAATAGTTAAGAAGCAGAGCGGTGCATTATTTTCGGAATAAAAGGCCGTTGCGCGAGGCTTGTAAAAGAAGCAAGGGGGGAAAAAAGAAAATCAAAAAGCTTTTCCGCTGCCCTCAACCTAAACGTTCTTAATCCTGTTTATTGAAGAGCTTCGTTCTTAAGCTTTTAATTGAAGCGTGCAGGGCTGGGAAATGGCATTAGTGATGTCAGCAGGGAAAACGCTGGGACTTCCATACATTGCTTTGTATTTGACCAAACACAGATGTTCGTAAAAGCAGTGCGTGCAGTTCCCACCATAACGCAACCTTTATATAGCCTGCGCTCCTGCTGAGGATTCCGCGCTGAACCAAACAGCATCAATCTGCTGGAAGAAAAATGTTCTTGAGCTAACGACAAGCCTTGGTACCCCAGATGTTTCTGAACTACAGTCTCATGAGTCTCAGACAGCTTTTAGGATTATATATCCCAATTCTAGACTATGGCGTTCATTTACTGAAACTGAACTGCACAATGTAGCCAAAACTAGGCAGTCATCGTGATGTCCTAGCAATGACCTGCAGTCATTGAGGTAGTTATTAGAAGTACACCTGCATCAAAACTAATATGGTTAAAAAAATAAATGAGGTTGGTGAATGTTATATCACTGAATAAATGTTGATCGTTTAATATGAAATCACACTATTCAAGGGAAAAGGTTTGCATTATTGTAACATAAAAAATATAATAGAGTTCACACTAAACTGGAATGAATTTAAAACTGAATTTCAAACCTTAGGCTGAAAAAGCCAAACTGTGGCTATGATTGAGTAGGAGAATTTTTTCAAATTATAGATTTTATTTGTTTGTTATTAATTTACTTCAATTTGGCGTTTAGTGAATAAACCATTTGTGTTTAGAAACTAAATATATATATTGACATTTTGCCTTAAAGGGCAAAACAACTTTACACCATAACAACTTTATTGAAATGAAGTTATACACCTTAACAACTTTTTTGAAATGAAGTTATACACCATAACAACTTTATTGAAATGAAGTTATGGCATGAGGATGTCCTGGGCTCTGGTTTAAAGTTTTCAATTCGACGTTCTTCAACTCTGCCACTTCACGTCCATTCCAGGCACCTTTCACTAAACAGAGTGAAAAACATATTTGGTCATTTAATAGATCAATGTTTTTTAAGGCAGCACAATAAATATACAGTGGGACCTCGGTTTACGAATTTAATGCGTTCTCCGGGACGTTTCTTATTGCGAAAAATTTGTGAACCGAAACAAGGTTTCCCATAGGAATGCATTGAAAACCAATTAATCCGTTGTGGAGGTCAGAAAAAAGTCAAAATGAGCTGGCATGGAAACCAACCCACAATGCAGAACACACAATAAAAGGCATGTAAACGACGAAGCTCAGCTCCCTACCTTTCCACAGCTTGAGAAATGCACCAAAAAGTCCCAAAACAACTGCAAACAATTTCCAGAATGGCCCCAAAACTCGATGCAAAGGCCGCTCTAACACCTCCACACTCGACGCCACGTGCTACCCACAGGCTCCAGCATGCACGGGGGCGGCGCTATAAACCTCCCAGGCGCAATGCATCCTGGGGAAACTTGCTTTGTATTGCGAAAAATGTTTGTAAACTGAGGCATTATTTTCAATGGATTTTCATTTGTAAACTGAAAATATGTTAACCGAGGCGTTTGTAAACCGATTACCCACTGTAATACATAATATCAAACAGTAATCCTCCAATTAGTCTCAAAGCCTTGAAATGGTATTTTGTGTTTTATCATATACAAAATAGATTGTAGGCTTGTTTGCGCAAGGTTTCTTTACAGTTTATCTAATATTTTGTATGTCAGCTACATGCTGTCATTTATTCCCATGCTATGATTGTACAGTCCTGCGGAATTTGTTGGCGCTATATAAATAATAATAATATAGTGATATAATTAATTAACATTTATACGACTGGCATCACAAGTCTATGGAATGATATCCAAAGCAATTATAATTACAATTTTAAATCTGATAAAGTTTCAATAATCCATTATTAATCACTGATTTGACTATATTATTATGCCACATAAAAAAATCAGAGGGTAATTTAGCTCTTAAAGTTAATTATTTCTTTATCGCTGACAACCACATGCCTAAACCAACCACGTAATTCAAATCAATAGCAAACCCCATTGTTAATTCAGAACTCAAACCATATACCTTCTACTGGTTTCTCTCCCCAAGAACTAATAGCTAATAGCTCCTTAATTTCTTTGAGACCCTAACCAAACCTGAGATGGTATTAAAATTAGGACTGTCCTTCTGAATCTGGACACTTGGGTTGTATGAGGAGCCAAAGTATTTAATCGCCCCAACCCGGCTGATTAGGGGAAAAGAACAAATCGAACTCGCATATTATGGAATGACCATAGTTTGTTTATACTATGTCTCTCAAAAATGGAATGTCTGTCATATTGAATTCATTGCTTTTTATCCCATTGTACAGCGCTACGGAATCTGATGGTGCTATATAAATAATAATATAATAATAATCAAAGCTTATTTTTTGTGCAGTTATTATTTCCACCACTAGATGGCTGTAATGACACAGCCCATGCGCTGTTTTACACTGGGTCTACTGGAGAAATAAACATGGTTTATCTGAATTTTGGGATCTATGGAGGTTTTTTTTTTAATTTTTTTTTTAGATTTGCATAGCCGTTAAACATCTGGAGTACTGCTAACCATATGGAGACCGTCCAGCTGTTGTAGAATTATCCTGGGTTAGAGGAGATGAGAATTTATAAGAGAAGAAAGTTAGAGTCAAAAGAGTTATACTTGGTAAAACAGGAGGAATCTCAATGTATCCTTCCTGGTAAAATATTATTTTATAAATAAATATATTGAGGTGCAAAGAGTGTTGTGGACAAAAATATTAACCCAATTCATATTAATAAAATGCCTATTTACTCAGCATAACCACAATCAGCATTATTCAAACTTATATGTGATTTACCCAAAATGGCCGCTAGGGAGTTTCCCTTTGACATCGACTAACACCCTCATTAACAAGGTGGCGCTGGAATCTTGGGGAGACCTCCAAGATACCAGTGACATCACACCCAGTAGGAAAGGCATTAAATGAACCACTTAACACCTAACCAATTATTGATGTATTATTCCATGTTATCTCTGACAATGCATATGATGTAATTTTATAAGGGGCATGTCGTCCCCCCAGAATAGAGATTCCTCAAGTTTTTCATTAACCCAAAACCTGTGTCTGGTGTGAATTACTTCAGGAGCGTGCACGCATCTTTTTAAATTTGGCCGGGGGCAGATACGCAAGATAATCAATTGATTGATTGATTCCACATCAAAGAGTTTAAAATATTTATTTTGTAACAATGAGCATCGTTAAGTTTTGCACTGTGAGTGAGGTTCATACGGGCAGCCCCTAATATTTATTCCCTGTAGGTGAATGTGGTCAGCATCGGCGAGTCACATAGGGGTTTATTCTCTAAACTCCTTATTGTAGCAAATTAAAATACACGGGGAAAAATGTACCTAAATGTCTGTCGCCATTTTGGCATTTTGATTTTAATTTTGTCTATTTTGTCCTTAGATTTTAAACTTTGCATTCACATTTAATTTCCCGCAGTTTAGACTTTCGAAAATTATTCCCGTACGTGGAACGTAGAACATTGACAGAGTTATTCATTGAAGTGAGAATTCCAAGTGAGTTTCAAATTTAAGGCCAGACTAGTTATTATAATTATTTTTTTATTTATATAGCGCCATCAGATTCCGTAGCGCTGAACAATGGTTGGACTAACAGACATGTAATTGTAATCAGACAACTGGACGTACAGGAACAGAGCGGTGGAGGGCCCTGCTCAAATGGAAGCATTGCTGACTTAAAGAATCGAGTATGTTCGTTTGCATAGGAATTCAGAGATTTGTTTTAATATTGCTGCTCATTTTCCCTCTGTTGGTTACCCTTTGTTTTTGTTTTTTTTGGTCTGTTAACCAAATGG